AAAATATTATATTTTATTATATATCTATATTGAGGGATGCCTTAAGGGGATACCCCCCTCAATATATCTCTGAAGAATAAAAATATTATTTCGGCATACATTAATTTCAAAAAAAAATATTATTCCAAGAATTCAATAAAATATATGGAAAAATTAAATAATTTCCATCAAAATGATACCCGTATAGTTTATTTCTAGCCAAACGCAAGTAATCGTAAGCAGTTACGCGCAAACGGCCGAAAACGATTTCCCTTCTTGTAGAGGTAGGGCACAAATTTAAACAATTTCCAACATAATCAAATAGGATCAAGAAAAGTCAATATAGTACATTGCGGTCGCATAACGCGGCTGTTTTCTAACGCGCACTATCCGTACCATCCGCGCCATCCGGACCATCCGGACCAGCCGCGTCATCCGCACCATCCGCACCATCCGCACCATCCGCACCATCCACGCCATCCACGCCATCCGCACCATCCGCACCATCCGCACTATCTACACCATCTACACCATCCGCACCATCCGCGCCATCCGCACCATCCGCACCATCTGCATCATCCGCACCATCCGCACAATCCGCGCCATCCGCATCATCCGCACAATCCGCACCATCCGCACCATCTGCACCGTCTCGCACACATGTATATATATTTTTTTGTCTAATTAAATTGTATAATTCGTACCAATTATATTAACGTAATACGCAAATAATGGTAATTCCATACCTTGTGTGGCAGCTGGATATCACTGGAGTTACAAAAAGATTTCTAACCGCCCACGCCGCTAATACATCCACGGTTCACAGCACCCCAACATGATATTGGAATGCGTAAGGGCCTATGCGGAAATAGCAACATCATCCAATAACTGCAACGACCCCAACGGATCGGCATCAGTCAGTTTTTGTAGCTGTAAGAAACTATCAGCGACATATTTCTATGCAACCCTCGCGCAAAATTTCCATAATCAAGCGTAAGAATTAAACAATATTAAAAATTCCTTCAAATGAAGCTTTTGATGGGATATAATTTATCGATATATATATTCCATGTCGACAAAAACCAGGCAAACCGCTAAAAAATCGCAGCGAAACGCAATCCTCCGAAACCAAACGCGTGGCGTAACCACAATCCACCCAGTACCATATGTGCCATATATTGCCACACCTGCCACACAAAGTAACACGGCGCATGACGGCGCACAACGCAACCAGCCACGCTTTCCGCCCGCACTAACATAATATGTCTTTAAACAAATGTCCTCTCAACTAGCCTTAGTGGAAATAAATAGGAAAAGGAAAATAAGTACCAGGTATCTCCAATACCCCTAAAATAATTTTTCCCTTAGGAAAAGTCACATAATAACATTCAATCTGGTCTTTTCCTCAATATTTTCCTATTCCCTATTTATTATTACCCAAAAAACTCTCGAAAATA